CTCTCTTCTGTTTTGAACAGTGACAGATTTCCCTATCATTATTTATTTTTATTTTTTACTTTTGGCTGTTTCAATGGAACTTTGGAAGAGAGGCAGGAAGGGAAGTTTAATGTGATGGTCTGAATGTCACAGAATGAAAATTTAGATTAAGTCCCCTTCCTCTTATAGACCTATGAAATGTACAACCCTCTCCTCTCATCACTAATCCATTCTGTTTGGGGAACAAGGACTTTTTCTCCTCTATCAGCTCTATGCTCCTTTTCTGGGTACTATTAAAAATATTTTGAATATCCTGATTTTGTCTTTCTCTGTCTCATCATTTATCTCTCTCTTTTTCCTTTTCCTCTGAGCTTGGGGAGATTTTTTTTTAGTTTATCAGATAGACTGAACCATCACTGAAAAATAAATTATTAAACCCCATTTATCGCTCTCAATCTTTCTTTGATTTCTCCTTCCTCAATTCTTTATATTTTCCTTTTCCTGTCTGTCCTTTGCTTCACTCCATCATCACTACCTTGTTTCCATCAACATTATAGTTTTACTTGCCTAGGGATTTCTACACATTTTATTTAGGAGTTTCCCCCTCAGCACTCTGGAGAATTCTGGTGGGCAATCTTCCCAGTCTTCAGGACGGTGTGGCTGCATGGTTGAGGCTGCTGGGAGGACAGCAGCAAAGACAGCATGGGCAGAACTGAATGCATAGCTCCTCCTCCTCCAAATGGAATGGTTTGGCACGAGCTATGCTGCGTCCTCTGCGTACCTCTACTACATCCAGTCATCAATCAATGAGCTGCGTGAGAAGAGAATACCTTTCATTGCAGCCAGCCATCTGGTAACTCCAAGTCTTAGAGACTCAACCTAGTACCTTGATGTCTTGGAGCAGCTTGGACCACCCATGGAACCATCAACTTCCAGACCTCAATTGGGCTTTAGGGCCATCCTGTGATATCCCTTGAGAAGGAAGGATTCAAGCTTAATACACAACTTGAATGTGCATTCCCAAGGCAGACCTGAGATCTGGGGGATAGAAGAAGCTAAGCAGATCATACCAGTCTTTGGACAACAATGGACGTGAATATCACCCCCGCAGCTGAGGACAAAGCAAATGCTTCTTGTGGCTTCTTACCCCACCCCTTCTGCCGGTGATGTAAACTGTAAAAATGGACCGAGCATAAGGTTTCCCATTTGTCTTCCAGTTAAAGATAAGGAATACACTGATAGCTAAGTCTTTGATACTTGGACAGTACCTTACCTTGGATTAGATTTCTTTTCCTGGATCCCTTAACACATTAAAATCTCTTCGCTCTGACTAAACACAGTTCCCCAGAGTCCTTTCTAAAGTCTCTTTCTCATACACAGGATGACATCTGACTTTTGCTCTCCTACTGTGCCAGTAACCCTTTCCTGTTTTCCCTCTGAGTCTCCCTGCCTGCTGCTGCTGCCACACCCACAAGGTCCCGCAGCCCCAGAAACTTAACTCTAGCCATTGCCCTATGAGGCTAGTCTGCAGAAATTCCTTCAGTTTTGCGGCCCATGGCTGCACTTCCTCCCGAAGAATGTCTAGGCTGTTTACTACCTATGTCTTGGGCAACTGCCCATCTGAACAGTGGTGGCCTGACTCACTCAGGGAAGACTCCGGTCCTGGTTGCCCACAATCACTTCCACAGATGAATCAGGACAGAGCGGGAGGCTGATTACAGTGAAGAGGAGGACTCTTTAAATGCACGCTCTGCAATGAGTCTGTAGAAAAAAAGAAATGGAAAACTGACAGTGGGATTGTACTGGCCTCTGAGGAGAGCATTACATGGTTCTCTTGTTTGCACGGGAGGAGAGGAGAAACTGTGATTTCAGGGCCAGCTGAAGCAAGAGTGTGCAAAGGCAGCCCAGGCAGATTCTCAGTGAAAAGAATCCTATTCATTAGGTTTCATGTCCACAGAGAAACGGGGCCTTCAGTGGCCAGGTGAAACAGCAACAGTGCCAATAGCAGAAGGAATGTAGCTTCCTTCATTCCTCCATAGCTTTCAGGGCTACCACTGGAATCACACTCAGCTCGGACAGCAATGTATTCCATACTGCTAAAATACAAAAGGCTCACACCACCCTTTAGGAAAAAATAATTTCTTCCTCAAAATCACATCCCGTAACTCCCCCTCCCACACACACACACACACACACTGCTTTGAGAAACAAATGCTTAGCTCCTGACATACCTGTGAAACTACCCCTGTGGGAAGGTGTGTTTCGTGCATGCCGAGAGATGTAAGCATATGCTACAGCAAAGCTCTGATATGGAAGTGATAACATAAAGAAGATGGTAGGAAATTGAGAGAAGGGAAAAGTGTGGCCATTGAGGGAATTTTTCTTTAAAGCATAGCAGATTTGTTGATATCAAATGCTGTGCTAAGCATGCAAAAAAATTCTTGCAGTTAGTTCTCACTGCAACCCAGTGAGTTCAGGTATTATTCTTATTAAAATGTGGAAACTGAGGCAACATTGCATAGAAGCCAACATATAGGCCTTTAAATCAGCTCGTTTTGCTTCCAAAGTTGGACTCTGCCACTTGTAAATCTGGGTAAGTTATTAAATTCTTAGGTCTCAATTGTCTTATATTAAAGGAGATGGAATCCATCTCATAAATTTCAGGAGATTTTCTCCTGTGAGTTTAAATGGAATATACAAGGTACTAAAGGCAAAGTGTTAACATTTTAGGATATTAGGGGTCCTTCTAATTCTATAAATAAATGTTCAAAATATTATTTCAGTTCAGTTTACAATAAATGTTGCAGATGTTCTTTTAAAAAAAATCCAACCTTTGATTATCTGTTTGACTTGAATTAATTGGAAGGTTTATAAAACTATAGGTATGAACTGCCTCTTGAAAATGTTGGGAGATAATCAGTTATTTCCAAGCATTCGAATGTAGTTTGATTTGGATATTCTTTAGTTTAAAAGATGGCAAATTATCTCTTGATTTTCCAGTCCTGACAGGGACACATGCTCATTGGCTTGATTCTGCTGCTACTTCTCTCCACCCTGACTTTGTATGTAGGCAGATGATAGAGAAGGAAGAACTCCTGAACCTGATTCTCACCAGCTTAGACAGCCAACCCTCAGCACAGTGAATGTGATGTGTGTGTCCCCAGCAGGAAAGAAGGTGACAGGTCCACCCTCCAGTCCTAATGAGGGTCCTGGAGAACAGGAGCGCCTGAAAAACTCCTGATTTCTTCTCTCTTGTAGCCAAGGTTAGTGCGGGAAGGGGACAGACAGACAGTGGAACAGGTCAAGACCAATGTGAAGCAGGACAGAGATGCTGGAAGGGAGTCAGGGACCACTTACTAAAGAAGGTGTGTATGTGCCCGGACATGCATGGGTGTGGACATAGGTACCCTAGGACTTACCAGGAAACCCTCAGCACAGGTCATCAGGGATTGAGAGAACAGCCAAGTATCCTCTGACAAATGTACTGAACAGAATGGCTTCTCAAAGTTAATTTACACTGCTGTCCAAATCCCTTTCCACTCTGGTGTTTCCTGCCCAAACGCTGAGACCAATGGCCTGATGCTTCCTTTTTGAAAGTAGGTCTCTCAGCTCATATGAAACAACCTTAGCAAAAGTCAACTCTGAGAGTCTGATCCTTGGGCCACGGAAACAGCAGGGGATTTCCCCTTCGTCCCTACCCTCACCCCACTAAGGAGAAGAGATCTACCCGAAGCAGCTAGGCTGGAGGAGTTAGGAGAAAAAAATTAGTCCCCGGAGCTCAGGGCATCTCAAGAATACCACTGGTCACTGCCTTTCCGGGGCATACTGTCCCCTATGGACAGTCCCCATGAATAGACCCCAAGGAACCTATGGTTCTCCCATTCTCTGCCCAGAATGTCTTCTGAGGCATACTGTCCCCAAGGAACCTATGGTTCTCCCATTCTCTGCCCAGAATGTCTTCCCTTTTCCCCTTCACTTTCCCAAATTCTAGCATCCAGGGCCAGCTCAAGGCCATAAATCCTGAAAGGGCCACCCAGGTAGCTGCAGCCCATACAACCCTCTCTCAGAGCGCACTTGTCAGCTTGCTACCCCACGCCTGGCCTCAGCGGGGTGGGCTTGGGGGGGTGGGTAGCGGTAGATAATCAGGCGCCCTATAAACAGAGGCTCATCGTCAATATCAGCCTCAGGCCAATAGGTACAAAGACACACTGATCTTAACAACGTGCCTGCCTGTGATTCTGGGGTGACTGGCCCAGTGGCAAGCGTCCGGAGAATCCAGTGTTCTTCGGTGGGACGGGGGGCGCAGGTGAGCAACCCTGGATGAACAAATTCTTCGCTTGCTTCTAGGGAGCACTTTCCTTAGGCCAAGTCTTAGCAGCTCACAGGTCAGGTCTCCTTCAGGGCCTCGTCCCCGGCCCCTGGCAGCCGCAGTGGACACAGGTGACCCCCGCCCGCGGCTCTGCTCCGCCGCCTAGAGCCTAGAGGCTGCCACTGCGCCCGGGGACACAGGCGCTGCTGCAGGCACCGGCCCTGGCGCGGGGGCCGGACTGCGCTGAGCTACTCACTACTGGTCTGAGGGTGGTGTCTGAAGCCTGGGCGCTTCCTGCCTTTGGCCTGTCCTGGGTGCCAGGCGCCAGCGGTGGGGCTCAGAGTCCCAGATCGCCCCGCCCCGCCGCCCGCGCCCTGCACGGTGCGTGCAGTGTCCCCGCCCCCAGCCCCAAACCTCCACCCCCGATGCCCTTAGGGGGGCACCCCCATCGGGGCGGGAGGGTGACCCGCTGTGCCGGGTCCCGGGTGGCAGAGAGGTGCCGGTGACCGCCTGCCCATTTCCGCCCAGTAGCCGTGCCTGGACGCTCGGGGAGCCGAGGCGCTCGGTCCTCCCTCCGCCCTCCCGCCCGCGCGGGGGCTGGCCTTGCCGAGCGGCGCCTATTTCCCGGCCCCGCAGCGCCGCTCCGCCACTCGGGCTCCGCAGGTAGGGCAGGCAGGAGGCTGGAGCGCCGCCGCCGCCCGCCGCCCGGACCATGGTCCCCTCGGCTGCACAGCTCGCCCTGCTCGCGCTCGGTACGTACGCTGCCTGCCGGCTGCGCGCCCCCTCCCTCCGCGACACCCCGCTCTGCCCTGTCCCCCTTCTTTTCTTTTCTCTGCCGGCCTAGAAGAGTGGAGCCAGGTTAGTGCTTTGCAAGGGTTGGAGGCTCCGAGGTGAAGGGGAGTCCGTGGGGAATGCTTCCTAGGGATGGGGGGAGCCCATCCCAAAGAGGGGGGTCGGCGAACAGCCAGGCTTTCTTTCCCCGCCAAGTGGCCACCGGGACCGCGCGGAGAACTTGAACCCGCCGCCTGTGTGCTCGGACCCTTGCCCGCATCTGCCTGTCTCCCTGGCTGCTGTCTTCCCTCTGCGCGGCCGGAGGGTGTAGGCTCCCCCCCAGCGGGTGGCGAGCGCCCGCCCGGCCCTCCGCCCACCTCGCCCCCTTCCCTCGGGAGCCCCCTTCCCATCCCCGAGCCCGAGCTCACGTTCCGGCGCGGAGAGGTGCCCTCGGTCTTCTGGCTTACGGCGCTCTTGAGCTTTGGAGGAGGTTGTGGATTTTTGTGCGGATGAATTGTGTTTTCATTAACTTCCCTGGGAGACGCGGTTTAAGGGTGAGCGTAGGGCGGGAAACCCTGGGTGCCTGTTTCCTTTGAGTTTGTTCTCGGAGGGGAACAAGGGAGGGGAGGCGAAGGGAGTTCTCAGGTCCGCCTGAAGGGGCTGGGCAGCGGCCCGCGCACCGCCTGGCGGGCTCCCCGCTCTCGGGTCTGTCCAGTGTGGAGACTGCAGATCAACAGCTCAGGTGCCCTGGTTATTGCCGCCGCTTCTGTGAAATGAACTGTTCCGTGACTATCCCCTGAGCTTAACCCTGTAGAGCAAGTCGCTCGCTCCATCTGAGTCTGAGAAAAGCTATGGAGCCCCTCCCCTCCAATGCCCTGAGCCGCAGCCTTGCCCAGTTCCCCGTACAGTTTCAGGGGGTTCGCGGACCCATCTGTCATCCTGCCCGGGCTGGTTAAGAATCGCATTCTCTAAGGGAATGAAGAGCAGCGTGGAGCGGATGCACGCAGCTAGATCCTCATCTGAAACTCACCAATAGGTGGCATGGTTATGGATCGCTCCCCCGTGCACACCTCTTTTCCTAAGACCTTTTTTATTTTTTTATTTTTTGTATTGATTATTGTTCTGATTTTAGATGTTTTCAAAGCAATAAAACATTACCCTTACACTAGAAGCCTCCTATATGCAGCTTCCCTGTTGTAATTTCCTTCGCAAATTCTAGCAGTAAAAATAATAGCCTGAGCATTCTACTCTGTGCCAGGCACGGTGCTAAGTGTTTGACAGGTATTAGCTCATTTAATCTAACACGGGCCCAATGAAGAAGGCATTGCCACACCTGTTTATGGAGGAGGAACGTGAAGCCCACAGGGCCCACAGTGAATGAGGAGCTGGTCCCCAGTTATTAAAGAGTGTGGAAGGAGTGTGGCTGTGAAAAGTCACCTACCTGTGCTCTCTGTGGGCCCCTCGCCCAGGTTTGGGACTTAGCTCTGAGGAGAGATTATGTGAAATGCTCTGGAACTTGCTGTTGAATTCCTAGGATCTCAAGGTGGTCTTCAGTTCTTTAGTGAAAATCAGGGACAGGAAATGATAAAGGTAAACAAATGTGAGGCCCCTCTTTGAAAGCTGGTCTCCCCCATGAAGTGTGATTGCCCATGAAGGCTGCATTCATTCATCGTCTGATTTTCCTCTTTTGCGTGTGGCACTGAGGAATATTTGGTAATCAAGCAGAAAGGGAATACAATTTGATCTTTGTTTCCTTCTTTCAGAAAAAGATGTATGACTAGAAGGGGTCAATGGGAGGAACTGGGGGACATTTGTACTATTTTCAACAATAAAGATTTTTTTTAAAAAAGAAAAGGACGCAGAAGCCTAAAAGATTGATTAATATGTAAAAGCTGGCTCATACAATTCCAAAATGTGCCAAGTTGGGGGGCAAGTCAAGAAAAAAGAAGGCAGGAGTAATTTACACCAGTGAGGATTCCTTTTTATTTTTATTTCTTTAAAAAAAAAAAAATTCAAAAAAAACCACAGACCAAAGGGTCTCAGGTTAGACTCCTGTCAAGGGCACATACCTGGGTTGCAGGTTCAACCCTCGGATGTGGGAGGCAACCCATCGATTAACTAAATAACTATAATACATATAAATAAATAAATAAATAAATAAATAAATAAATAAATAAATAAATAAAAATAAAAGCATTTACTAGAACTTCTGCCTTCCCTCTCTACTTTCTGCTAGACTACTAAATACTCATCAGTGCCACGTGCATCTTTAATTTGCCCATTTCCTCCAGAGTTGCTTTTCTCTCTGATTTTCTTCAAGTCGCTGAAGGCAGTGCCAGGCAACTCAGGCAGCGTGCCATCGCTCACCGAGACCTAGGAAGCCAGTATCTCGCCTCGCCTTCCCCATTTTCCTGGGGACACTCTGAGAAAGAAGCAGCTAATATTCCTGATTCCTGAGAACCCGCGCACTTGTTGATGTTTTGGCAGAGAGACTGTGGAGACTGGTGATTAAATGGCAACCCCGGAAAAGTAATCCAGATTGCTGTGAGGGCTGCCCTCCCATGTCGGGTTTCCATCGCTGGCAGAGCAAACCTCACAGGGGCTTGGCTTCTCCAGTCCCACATCCAGGGAGCAAGATGTGAAATCTTGGGCAAGTTAGCTAGCTTCTCTGTGCCTTGCTTTTCCCATCTCTGAAATGGAAATATGAATAGGGTTGTTGCATGTATGTAATGAACATAGAATAGTGCCTGGCATGGAGTGAGACCATAATTAATCTTAGCGCCATCGAGTGATCCTTGCTGTTACGTGAACCAACCCCACAGAATTTCATTGCAGGTTATGTCAATTCTGTAACTGGGAGAGTGTCTGTCTTACTCATCTCATCTCCCTGCTCCCCATCCTTCTTAAGCCAGAAAAAAAACCCACCCAACTTAAAAACCTGCCTAATGATTTTTGTGAATATCTTTTGGCAGGTGACAAATTCAAGCAAGTTTGGGAATTCTTTTGGACATTGTGAACTCTTTCATTTCTGATGCAAAATATTTATATGTCCTCCATAACATGTAATGGTCAGTTGTTTACTGAACTCAGCACTGAGTTCCAGTTTTCTCAACCGTAAAGTGGAAATAAAACTGTGCCCGCCTCACAGGTGATTATGAGAATCAAATGAGATGGAAATGTGGAAGCTATTTACAAACTATAAAAAGAAAGGGTTACACACAAATGAAGGTGATATGGTAACACAGAAGAAGGTTTTATAATCTAGAAATAAACATGATTATTTTTCTGGCAGCTCCCAGGAGGAGGACTGGCTGTAGACCTAAAGCAGGACATCCTAGGATTCTAATTGTCACTAAGGATGTGTAGAGCTGAAACAGGTCAGCTTCGCTGTGGATTTGGGACTGAGGCCAGTAGGAGGCATGAAGTCAGATGTTTCTCCATTGCATGGAAATTTCGTCTTTCCGTGTAGACAGTGGGGGGTTGGCCCAGAACATAGGTTTTCCTTCCCGGGCAGCCATAATTAGGGAAAGTTCACTGAGAACATGGCTGTCTAAAGGTGTGCATGGAGCCTTAGAGGCTGAGTTTCCCATATTTGCTTTTCCAGAATTTGGTTTCCTCAGAATTTTCTGTAATGCACCACATCCCCTGCAAATGGGGCTCTTTCTTGTACGGATAAATGATGCTTCGTGCCGTTGTGTTACCATGGCAACATACGAAAGCTAGGTGACTTTTTCCATTAGCCCTATCTCTGAGAGCCTTTTGAAAGCGTGTTTGAACAGGTCCTGCTCTCTGGGCTGCCCGCTGAAAGGGTTGGGCAATGGAAGTGGAGTCTGGGTCAACCAAAAAGGGAAAAGCCTGACACTCTGAATTGGGTGTTTTGTGCTTGGTTCCCCAGCAGTGCCCTCAAGTCACAGCCACCCGGAGGGTTTGGTAAACCAGATTGCCAGGTGGGAAATGGGAGCGTGTGCATGGCTAACAAGTCCCCTGGTGTGGCTTATGCTGCTGCTGGGGAGGCAGGGGGGGGGGACATGGGGGGGAGCACTGCTCTTCAGTCAGTGGCTGTGAGGGAAGCTTCTGGCTTAACCAATTGCATTTTATCTACAAGTGCATTCTGACATTTATAAACGCCACTGTGGATTTATGAGCAGCTATTAAAGGTGCCTGCCTCGTTGACCAGAGCAGAGTGAGAACCCTTGCTTAAGTCTCTCCATTGTTCTAAGTGTTCTTGTACTTTACCCAGGGGAAATGTGAGGGTCCCACGTTACTAGACTTAAGCTAACCAATGCTAATTGAGTCACTCTTTCTTTCTTTCTTTCTTTCTTTCTTTCTTTCTTTCTTTCTTTCTTTCTTTCTTTCTTTCTTTCTTTTTTTATTACCAAAAGTGGCTGCTGTTCTGCTACTATTTCAAATATGTATATTTTTTATCCTCACCCGATGATATATTTTATTGATTTGAGAGAGAGAGAGAGAGAGAGAGAGAGAGAGGAAGGGAGAGAGAGAGAAACATTGATAGGTTGCCTCCCATACATACCCTGACCAGAGATCAAACCCGTAACCTTTTGGTGTATGGGACAAGACTCCAATCGACTGAGCTCTCCGACCAAGGCCATTTCAAATATTTTTAATCACCTCATTTTTAAATATAAACTTAAGGTATAAACTAAACATTAATGTGTTTAAAATTGCATCTAGATAGAGACTTGGGTGCTTTTGCTTTTGTTTTGCTTCCCTCCCCTCTCCCCACCTTGAAATGTCAAGTTTTAAAAAGCCTGAAACAGGAAAGCCTGCAGTCTGGGCTACAGAACGTCTCTTAGGAACTCTTCCTTTCAAGTACAAGACACATTCTCTTTAGACCCGTGGTTCCCAGCCTTTTTCTGGCCATGCCCCACCTAAGCATCTCTAAGGTCCTGATGCCCCCGTGACATATAATCCTTACTATTCAAAAAGTGAGCTCCTATTCATGTGGAGGAAGCCAAAAAGG